AGGTGCAGGAAGCGGGGCCCCTAGCCGGCATCAGCGGGGCTGCCACCCCCGGCCTCCCCTCCGCCAGCCTGAGTCACTTGCTCCGACAGCTCGCTTCCCGTTTGCAGGGAAACTGCACGTCCTGGCAGCCAGGAAGCTAGGTACAAGCCCTCCCTGTGTGCTCCCCCTTCCACAATGGTGGCTTCACATTGCGCCCACAGACAAAGGGCAGCTGTCATGAACACGGGCCAAAGGACTTTTCATGCCTGATGAAAAGGTGCTTGTTAGAGCCCTGAGGTGCCAGGGGCTCTTCTCCCACCCCTTTTCTCCCCCCCCCAGCTAATGCTTTGGCCACTGCCTGCACCCCATGATTGCCTCTGTAAGTGAGGCATCACTGCCACCAGTACCACCATCAACCAGGACACCTCGCACGGAGACAAGGACGCCCACCCCTGCCAGCCCCCCATGGGTGTCAGAGGCAGAAGGTGGGAAGGCAGACATGGGTGAGCCATTCAAAGCCAGAACACAACTGCTCCCCATGCACACCCAGCTAGATGCCCTTTCCTCACCCTGGGACAAAGAAGGGGTCAACTTTCACAGTACTTGAGTCACTGCAAACACACAGAGCCAGCCAACAAGCCCACTAGGCCACCATCAGATCGCAACATCAGGTCAGGACGTCAGACTGGGAAGGGGGCCCGAGCCTCCCACCTGGCAGACACATACTGAAATTCTGCGGCAGACACAGCTTTGCAGCCAAGCAATCTGCCAGAGGGTAAAGGCAAGGGTCTCAGCCTCCCCAGGGGAGATTGGAGCAGTAGTCTCCCCCTCTCCCTGTTTCCAGAGGATGGCAGCAAGCTGCAGGGTGCTAGCTCAGTTCACATCCCTGCAGAAGCCTTGTACAGTCATGCCCTGGAGTCCTATCCTTGGCGCACTCAAGACCACCCTGACCTCCCTTGGGCGCACACAGATCCTGGGGAGCTGGGGTCTGCAGCGGTGTGGCAGGCAGGAGAGCCAGCTCCTGCCTGGGACCCTGCCCATCCCCACCACCCGGGCACCAAGGGGACCTGGGGAATAGGCAAGAGAGGCTGGGGGCACCCATGCCCGACACAGTGGACAGTGACAGGGACACCATCTGGGGGGGTGAAGACAGAGACGGTGGAGGTGCTGCCGTCGAGGGTCTTCCCTCCCTTCTACAGCCCCTCCCTGCCCATTCCAAGAGCCACGGGGCGGGGCCACCCTGCTGCCAGTCAGGGAGAGACGGAGCAAGGAACCTCGCGATTGGTGCAGAACACCGCCCGGGTCCCAGCTACTGCCTGCTCCGGGGGAGAGGAGAAGGCATTCTTAAAGGGCCAACACAGCAAAGCGCTGAACAAGTGTATTCCCCAGCGCCCAGAGACCGATACCTGCTTGGACGTACTCATTCCCAGAGGGCTTCCAACGGTGCCACCAGCAGGAAGCTGTCGCAGTAACCTTGACTCTGGGATGTGCCCTGTCCCCATCCCAGGCAGGGCCCTGGACAGCACAGCTGGGTGACAGATGTTGCCGCTGGCAACATGAGGTGCTGCACCCCTAGGAATGGGTTTGGTGCTGCTGCGGTACCTCAGCAGAAGCCCCCTGTGAAGCCCACATGATCTGGGGGAATCCGCTCAGTGTCCCGAGGTGGCTCGGTCACCAAGGGGCTGGAGCAAGGGACAGGCTTCACGTGGGGGATCCTGCTGTTGCCTGGGTCTGCCAAAGCCTGGGATGGGGACAGTGGCAAGGCAGGAAGGGTATGGGGTGTCCAGGATGGAGACAATGTCCCTGTTCCAGAGGGCCAGAGCTCACTCTGTGGAAATGCGCTGACCCAGGGAGCTGGGGGATCACTGGAGATCCTGCAGGGTAGGATCCCTTATGGCAGGACACAGCCCCTGCCACAGATGGGGCCAACACCATCCCTACTGCATTGGTTTTGGGGTTGGCTGTTGCCCTGCAGAGCAAAGAGGTGTGAAGCCTTTGCAGGCTTGACACAGTCCATGGCATTGGGCTGGATCTTCTTTGACCACAAAGACTGAAAATCCAGGACCTAGAGCCAGCCCAGCTGGTTTCTCACTGCCAGTGCCTTTCCAGTGCAGTACTGGGGAGTAGGTGGGAGCCATGGCTAGGGCTCGGGCTTACCACCTGCCTGTTATCATCACCTTCCACCCCCACTCTCAAATCATTTACTTCCCGTACCCCCCCCAGGTATCTTGCCAGGACCCTTTGGTGGAGGGGACATCCTTGTCCCCAGCTGTAGCACAGCCCACACAATGCAGAGGAACACTTGCTCTTGCAGCTGCTGCAGCCATTCCCACCTGCCACAAATCAGAAGTGCTGAGTCTGAGCAGTGACGCAAGAGGAAAAAAAAAAAAAAAGGAAAAGAAAAAGGCATAAAATAATTCTGAGAGGTTTCTGCCTCTCTGTGATTCGGCCACAGCAAGCAGGCGGCACACACAGTTCCACACCCATACACAGTTTCCGCTGCACCTCACTTCCTTCTGCTCTGAGGAACCGGTCGTTCCTGCTCACGGCCTCCTGGGAAGGGACATATTACCAGCACCAATCACCTTGGAAACCCATCAGATCCCCCCCTGCCGCCTCTGCTGGATCCACTACCCATCCTCACCTCTGAGGATTGAAGCATTCCTATAACTGAAAGCTCTCAAATTAAGCTGCACAATTCCCACCGGGAAGAAGCACAGAAGTTGCCTGCCATGCGCAAGCGCCTTCCTGGCTGCAGTTTGTTCAGTCAGGGCATTAAACAACACCCGGACATAGCATATCACAAATCGTGCAGGGCTTGTAATATGGTTGTTAAAGGAACACCTGGCTGGAGGACTCACCATCCTGCTTAGAGACACAGTCCAGCTCAGTGGAGCCCTGCAAGCGACTGGAGTAGTCTGCAATCCCAACCCCCCACCCCAAAGCGAACATCATCACAAAACTTCCACGGAAACAAAACTGGAACTATCAGGAGTCAAACATGAAGTGAGACACGGACGGGAGGGACTGCTCTGTGGCCGCGGTCTGTCAAACGGAGGAACCAGCATCGTTCTTCAGCTTTGCATGCTATATTGTGGGAAGCGACACTCTGGTCCCCCACTGGCAGTTGGAGGCTTCCAGCCCCATTTGCACCACCACCTCCTCAGCCCACAGCAGGGCACAACACAGAGAGGCTATGTTCCCCTCCCAGTGCCTGACCCGGCAAGTGCTCCCCTCGGCTCTCATTTTGCAAAGGGAAGGAAATACCATTAGCAGCAAACTTTCTGCCAAGGATTTGCAAGTGGTTGCAAGCTGACCTCAGCCTCCACCAGTTACTCACGCAAGGCGTACCCAAAACTGCATCCAAAAGACATATGTTCACTAACCTGAGCAAACTGACTCACTTGATCCTGCTCACCACAGTGCAAATGTCATCGACACCCAGGACGGCTCACTTGACTCCAAAAAAGACCTGTTCAGCTACAGCTAACCACTCTTTAGAGGCATGGCATGACCGGATATTCCTCCCAACCTCAATCCACTACCATGTGTATGGCACGAATGAACCATGGCTGTTCCCAGCACTGGGACATGCCAAGGAAGGAGCTACATTACCTCAGCAGGGGTGGGGAGCCGGCTGGCGGTGCCCACGATCTGGTGGTACAGCCCTGGCTCACCATTCCTCATGGTGCTCTGGCGGCTCCCCAAGGGGCTGGAAGTGAAGGGCTTTTTACACAGGATATCACTCTGGCGAGAGTCCGTGGTGAGATAGACCTGGTGGTAGAAGTTGGGTGGTGTGAAGCCACCCCGCACGGCGTCAATGTGGTGAAAGGGCCCTGGTGTCCTGTACAGGGTGCTCCGGGAGCTGTTGAACAGCTCCTTTGACTGCCTCCACTTGTAGCACTTGAAGATGCCCAGTGACAACATGGTGATGAAGAAAGCTGCTGACACCAAAATCACAGCCAGGGTGAGATAGAAGGTCACATGCCTCCTGGGATCGTTGGCAGGTGCCACATCAGTGAGGTCAGTGAGCACCTCCTTGACCATCTCGGCCACAGAGATGGAGACAGTGGCACTAGTGGACAGCACAGGCTCCCCATGGTCTTTCAGCAGGTGACTAGCGTGTGCTGGGGAGCATCATCCTCCTGGAGCTGGCGGGCTGTGAAGATCTCCCCGCTGTGCAGCCCAACTGAGAAGAGGCTGGGGTCAGTGGCCTGCAACAGGGTATAGGAGATCCAGGCATTGTACCCTGCATCCGCGTCCACCGCCACCACCTTGGTGACCATGTGCCCAGCAGGAGTGCCTGGTGCCACCACATCAGTATAGGTGGCAGTGGTGTTGGGGTGAGGGTACAGCACGGTTGGGGCATTGTCATTGAGGTCAGTGACAAACACACTGACTGAGACATTAGTGGCCAGAGGCAGAGAGCCGCCATCCTGAACCTGCACCATCATGCTGAACTCCACCTGGTCCTCGTGGTCCAGGGAGGTGAGCAGGTAGAGGGTGCCATTCTCCCGGTTGATGGAGAAGAGATGGCCTACAGTGGGATCACCCTGCAAGATAGTATAGGAAAGATGGGCGTTGCGCCCAAGGTCTGGGTCTGTGGCGCTCACATTAAGAATGGGGATGCCAGGCATGTTGTTCTCCAGCACATACACATCATAGGAGTCCTGGGAAGACTTGGGCGCATTGTCATTGACATCTGACACCTGCACCAGGATCTGTTTTACCGCAGACAAGGGTGGTGAACCCGAGTCCCTGGCTGTGATAGTAATGTTATATTCCGATGCTTTTTCCCGGTCTAGAGCTGCTTTTGTTTTCAATGTGTAGTAATTTTTGAGGGAGGAGCTGAGCGTGAATGGGATCCCAGGGGAAATGAAGCAGTTCACCAGACCGTTATCATGGGAGTCCAAGTCCGTTACACTCAGCAGAGCTACAACTGTCCCTGAGGCTGCATCTTCAGGCACGGGGCTGTACACAGAAGTCACTGTCACCTCTGGAGCATTGTCATTCACATCCACAACTTCCACCAGCACTTTGCAATGAGCCACACCAGGAACAACGCCCTTGTCTTTAGCCTGTAAGTAAATCTCGTACAGCTTCGTTTCCTCGTAGTCCAGCTGCCCCTTGACCCTCAACTCCCCTGTGGCTGAGTCCAGAGCAAAGAGTTCTCGTACCTTGGCAGGTGTGTGGCTGCTGAAGGAATAGACGATGTCTCCGTTTGGCCCATCATCCAGATCGTACGCACTGATCCTGGTGACCAGGGTACCACTGGGTGTGTTTTCCGTCACGCTTGCCTTGTAGGTGGACTGGTTGAAGACCGGGGAGTTATCGTTGGCATCCACAACATCAATGTGGATCTGCACGTGGGCCGACCGTGGCGGGCTGCCTCCATCCAGCGCAGTCAAGACCAAGTGGAGCTCCCGTTGCTCCTCCCTGTCCAGTTCCTTCTCTAGCACCAGCTCCGCGTACTTGCTTCCATCCACCCTCGTCTGCACGTCGAGTGCAAAGTGCGGGTTGGCACTGAGCTGGTAGGTCTGCAAAGAGTTAATCCCCACATCGGGGTCTTGCGCGCTCTCTAGCGGGAAGCGTGCTCCGGCCGCCACCGACTCGCTGATTTCCAGCCTCGCCTGGCTGCTGGGAAAAACCGGGTCGTTGTCATTGATGTCCTGGATCTCCACGGCGCCGCTGTACAGCTCCAGCGGATTTTCCACCACGATCTCAAAGCTGAGGGAGCAGGGAGAGAGCGCACCGCAGAGCTCCTCCCGGTCTATCCGCTCGCTCACCAGCAGCGCGCCGCTCGTCAGATCCACCCCGAAGTACTTCTTGTTGCCGCCGGACACCACCCGCAGCCGGCGTGCCGGCAGCCGCCCGAGGTCCAGCGCCAGGTCGGCTACCACGTTCCCCACCGCGGAGCCTCTCCGCGCCTCCTCGGGAATCGCATAGCGAATCGCGGCGGAAACCCAGTCGGAAACGCCGAGCAAAAGCAAGAGGCTCAGTACCTGCCCCGTCGTCACCCCGCGGCTCCTTACAGCAACGCCGTTCATCGCACAGGACGGCCGCGCTCTCCGCTTCGCCCCCCCTCCCGGCTAGAAATCCTCAGCTCGCCCCGTCATGCCGCTGCCCAGCGCGCCCCGAGAAGCGGCGTCCGGCAGGGAGACGGGCATTGCTGGCGGGCTCCGCCGTGACTCGCTCCCAGG